AAGGGAAAACGGAAATGAAATAATTTCACGACAAATATTCAACTGCATATTAATTACTTTATAAATCAATGATCAGTGTTAAACTCCGGTGGTGGATCTTTACTGACCAAGGTTTCTTATTATAAGTGTTTTCGATATATTATTTTCACTATTTATTCGTTCGATTAAATTTCTCGTTTATTTAATTTCTCTTTTATTTAATATTTATTCCCGATATATTCCAAACCCCCCATTATTTCCTTGAGCACAAAAGTTAAACTAGTTACTCCTCGTGGGATCGATCCTTACTCCCGCTACTACGTTTGTAAGGTTTTAATTTGGGAGCCTACGACAGCTCACCAAATTAGCAGCCAAGACTCATTATTTGCCAACCCCGAAACATGTATTGCAATTGAACTTGCAATACAGAATAAACTGCAGTATCTTAAAGAGTCTTGTGATATCCCTGCTTCTGACTCTGGAATTAGCCCCATTCACAACGTTCAAGCAACCCCCATTCCAACACAAACACATAAAGAAATAAGTACTTTGGATGATGTTACACGTATTGCTTCTCACTACAGTACTGAAGGAGAACAAGATGACATTTCAAAAGAGGGGCATGAGGTTTCAGAACAACTGCCAGTGTTAAATGCTGAAACAGAGTCTGCTGAAAAAGAGAGTGAGCAAGTTAAGGTTGTTGCCAGTGAAGATCATGAAGACGTTGCAGAACAAACTACAGTTGAGGAGGTTTCAGAACAACTGCCAGTGTTAAATGCTGAAACAGAGTCTGCTGAAAAAGAGAATGAGCAAGTTAAGGCTGTTCCCAGTGAAGAGCATGAAGACGTTGCACAACAAACTACATTTGAGGAGGTTGAGCAAGCTGAACTTCCAGAACAACTTTCACTGCTAGACAGTGATAAACATGTCGTTGATAATGAGTGTGGGAAAACTATGACTGCTGGGAATGAAGAGCACATTAAAGTCACACAAGAAATTACAGTTGACGATATAGAGCAAGGTGAGCTTGAACTACAACTTCAAGTGTCATATGCTGATGCACAGGGTACTGAGAAGGAGGCTGAGCATGTAGTATGTTTTCCATAAATTGAGAAACAACAACATGAAAGCATACCAGAGCCATGTCTTGAAGTAGCTGATCTTTCTCTCGATAAAGTGTCTTCTAGTGTTCAAGCAGACCCTGTAATATGTGTGCAACAAGTAGATGTTTCAGCCACAACAAATGCAGCCATATTACTAGTGTCTACTACTATTGCTGAACAAACAAATCCTAGAATATCTGATGAAGGCAAAGTAGCAACAGCTTCCAAGAAAGCTGGAAAAGCTATATCACAGCCTACTGAAGAGCATCCACAGAAAGACCGGAGAACAAGAAAACAGTCAGATTCATTGAAATCTCCGTTCTTTATAAGACAAGTGCAAATCACATTAACGTACACTCCTGCTGAGAATTCATTTAAAGATTGGGTTGAAACAGCAGATGAATTGATTTTGTAAGTTATACCTAAAATCCCTATTTTGGTTTTTGTTAATTGAACATGCTAATATCTTGATTTTTTATTTTATTTTTTATTGAACATGCGAAAGATTGGGAATGTGGCATCCGGAAAGAAAAGAAGACAGATCTTGATCATCTCAGGGTCAAGTACATTGCAGCCATTTTAAATGTTGAAAATAATGAATTGTCACTTGCGAACAACAAAGTAGCTGGTCTTGTAAAGAAATGATGAATTAGTATTAGTTTATGTAATTAACAAACATTGATATATTTTTGTTATATAAAATTCTTTTGTTATATTAAGCAAATTAAGTTATATTTTGACGCACATTAGAATTAACATTGATGCCACTTAATACCTCACGTAGTTGAAAAATCTTAACATGTTTATAAAACAATGTTAATATGCGTTTGGTTTTGTAAAAGACTTAATCTCCGTCAACAAAAACTAAACATGCGTGTTGGAGGGCTTGAAAAAGACAAATCTTAGCGTGTGTGAGTTTGTTTATTAACATCAACAAACTTTTAAAAAAAAAAACAAAAAAAACATAGAACTTCAAAATCATTAATGTGCGTTTAAATATACTGTATTATGTGCCAGTAATTGTAATGGATGTCACCTGTATATTTAATGGACCTAATGACTTTAAGATGCGTTAAATCCACACTTAATGTGTGCTGCTAAATATTTAAACATGCGTATGTTAATACTTCAGTGTGCTTGTGTGTTAAGTTATTGAGCGCATTGAACTTAAAAGATCACTGTTCTGTCATTTAAAATAAATTTCGCGCACTTCGGTTGTAAAATAACTGAATTAGTACTCCAAAAATTTAAAAAAAAAAAAAAAACCCATAAACAGAAATCTTCCTACCTTCGCGTTGTTCAGTTTCCAAAAGCATTTTTCAAAAATTTTACATATTACAGTCGTCATTCTCCATTTCGAAGCTTTTTTTTAACAACACCGCACACATGGCGTCGCCGGGAAATGCTCCGCAGTCTGAAAAATCTACTACTAGAAACTATTGTACAAGGTCAATTCCACCCTATTCATTCCAATAATATCATTTAGTGTTTAATTTCTCGCATAGTATGCTTTGCATGTTTATTTCAGAATGTTGAAAAATAAGGTTTAAATACAAAAACAATATCATATTAGTTCATGCATACTATGAGTTAAATTGCTGCAATATATATATATATATATATATATATATATATATATATATATATATATATATATATATATATATATATATATATATATATATATATATATATATATATTCATTGACACACACTAGTAGCTAATTACACGAACATCTTATTTCTACGAATTGATTTTCAAATTGACACACATTAAGTTTTAATTAAACACACACCTTAAGTAATGCTTATATGCAATTTACGTTATGTCTTAACGCACAATAAGTAATAATCTAACGCATAACCTGAACTATCCTAACGCACATTAAATTTCAAACTCACTCAATAAGTTATAATTTCACGCATATAATGTACTATCCTAACACACATTAAGTTTCAAACTCTCATATCTTTTTGTTTGATAAATTATGTTGTTTTCCTTGTGCAGACTGTATTCAACTTAATGCAGATTGATTATGCATTTAACCTTTCTTGCATTTTGCAATCAATTTATATATTTGTTTTTTATTTTATTTTTAGTTTTTTAAAAAACTATAGGTAAAAAACGCAAAAGCCAACAAAAATTAGACATGGTTGTTGCTAGAACATCTGGGGGGGGGGGGGGGGGGGGCTGTACATGTTACAAAAAAAAGACAGAGATCCAAAAATAAAAACCAAAGAATTTATGACGGTGTCCCTGCAGTTAAAAACAGGGGATCATCAGCTAGATTGATTGATGCAATTAAACATTTTAGCCCTGAACAACGAGCTGAGTCTACATATTACAGAATTCCCAATACGGCTATGCTACTGGATACTCCCAAGGGGACCATTTCAAATTGTATACGAGAAAAATCTTCCATTATTCTTGGATTGGAAAGACAAAGTTAAACCAAGAAACCCGATCTCAGTGCTGTATGGTGAGGCTATTTCAGCAATGGTGGACTGCACTGACGGGGGTGAATGGTTCAAAATCCATTTCATGGTCATACTAACATCTATGTACATTGATGGTCCTAAAAGTGGATATGTTGGTCCACGTATCTTGGAGGCATTGAATGATGTCACAAAAATTTGGGATTTCAATTGATGTCGCTTCCTTTTGCGAAGATTGAATACTGCAGTACTCGCTTGGCAACCGAACCCTACTGGTTATTTCCCCGGTTCTCTCCTGTTCATGCTTGTAAGTTTTAATATGTATTTATTCTATGTAAAATGCAAAAGATAGGACGTTATGTTGCTAACAGTTGTCATTTGTATTCAGATACATTATGTTGATCGTGTTGTGTTACAATTCCATAGACCTATTAAAAGAGCTATTCCAGCTTTTGATAGGATGGACAACTAAACATTTAAAAGACCGAGAGATGGAAGAGTTTAAGTCTGGGACTTTTGGACGAGGCAGAATTCATAGGCGTAATCCCCAGTTTGTGCCCTCTCAAACAGATTCAGAAGAATTAGATGGTAATGATCAACAAGAAATGGAAGGATTGACATGTAGTGATCAACGAGCATTACCACTTTTTCCTACTGTTAAAGGTCAAAGACAGACTGAAGTCCAACATGTGCCGCTTGAAGGAGTGAAGGTGTGTTCTTCATTCTATGATGTTTTTGTTTAGTCTTATTCAAAACTACTTTCAGTTTTATTAGTGTATAATTAAAACGCACATTAGGTTTTACCATCACACACACAATATTTCATGTGCAAGCAAGTTAAAGTTTCTATTTGATGCACATTATGCGATAATCGTACACACATTAATTCTTACAACAGGAATACTGCACTGGTTATGCACAGTCGCTGCAAAGGTTTTCTAATTAGATGGTAAACCTAATTGAGTACTCAAAAAATTCACCAGCCATGATTGAAAAAAATGAGAATATAAAAAACATGCGTTCAATGGTTATAAAGGCACTCAGTCCTGTGATTCAAGGCGTGCAATCATCTCTCTCCCAGGAAGAGCGAGAAGCATTTAGCAGCCAAGACTCCTTTTGGGACGATCCACAAAAAAAGGAAAGAGTATTTGGAAGAACAGATGTTTGAATTTCCCAGTTTTAACCTTATAAAAACCCCAATACCCTGAGATTAAATGAATTTAGAAATACAATTAAAACTCATGCTCACTCTAGGTAACACTCGTTATATTACAATGCACAACTGAAGGGCTTCTACGCACACACCATAAAACCAGTAACATGCACACGCCAATACAGAGCTACGCATCGACTATTTGGTCATATTACTTTGCATACGCCATGTTACGCATATGCACTGACAATGGCTACACGCGACTATGGAAGCCGAAAACCAAATAATATCTAGGTATACCATGCTAAAAAAGCCTGGGCGACGGTGAAATGCACAAGCGTACATACATCTACGCACAAACCACTATCACACACATTCCCATTCAAAAAAATTGCATCTCGGAACAAAATTAATCTAAACATTTGACCCCTAATACAAAATGAAAATGGAAATATGATTAAAAGTCATGCTCACGCTAGGTAAAAAAAAACCCCATAACCAAACACAAAAGTAGATACATTATAATACTAACGTCGCGCCAAAATCACTCGTTCAAGAGCAGCGCACAAACCATCTAGCCATACGCTTTGGGATGTCGTGGATTTGTAGGTTTAATAGTTCTCCTAAACCCAGCTCGACCACGGCTTTCTTCTGACAAGCATTAAACCGCTTCGTCGGTACGACCAAATGCTTAGGAGAAACACGAATCTTCAAACTCGGATATAGTACCACGTCATCCGCATCAAGGCCATCATCCGAGCCATCCGAATCCGTGTCTGGTTGGGCAACAGGAGGTACTTCAACATCATCGGACGATGGCAAATGTACGACCTCTACCGCATCTACCGTCTCTACAACATTGTGATACGAGTATATCCGCAGTGGAAGAAAGTGAAAATCAAGAATTGGGAGAAAGAAAAGAAACAACCCAAGCTACTAGGCCAAGGAGAGAACAAAGGAAACCGGCATGGATGGCTGATTACATTTGTTAGACTAAGTTTATTCATAATAGGATACATTAGTTTAGTCTTAATACGTTATTATATTATATTAATTAGGAATCATAGTCCTAAGCATAATAGGAGTAACTTAGTATATAATCACCCTGCATGCTAGGGGGAAAGACATGCGAATTATTATTATCTTTTTCTTCTTTGCTATCATCTTCCTTCTCTGAAATCTCTCTCTCTCTCTCTCTCTCTCTCTCTCTCTCTCTCTCCCTCTCTCTCTCTCTCTCTGATTTTCCCCTCCCCTAATTCCATCTTTGGAGTCTGCATCCACTCAAAGCGGTGCCAGCTTGATACGGGTTCGTATCAATTGGTGCTTTCATTGCATCGAACTCATCTTTCTTGTTCTTTTACACACTCAAAACTGTAATCCTACTTCATTATGTCAGACAACCAATCTACATCAACAACTCGTCCTTGGGAGCAGGCAATTGCTGAATTGCAAGAAAATTTTGATAGACAAACTGTTACAAATCACCAACTCATACAACAACTCATTACCTCCGTGTCACGGTTGGAAACGATGGTAACAACAAATAAAAATGCAGCAGTGCAACCTCAAACACATGGAATTTTAGGACCTCCACCTGATAATCATCTACAACCATCTTTGCAACCGGAGAGTGGCCAAGGGACTCAACGATTTCATATGAAACTTGAGTTACCTCGCTTTGATGGCTCAATTCCTCATGGTTGGATATTTAGAATTCAAGAATATTTTGATTTTTATGATACACCCGACACACAGCGATTGCGAATAGCAAGATTCACAATGGAAGGGAATGCTTCTGGGTGGTATCAATGGATGAAAAGGAATGGAATGTTCACTACATGGAAGGAATTTTTACAGAATGTCACAAAGCGGTTCGGCGAGTCTCGTTTTGAGGATTCCCAAGGAAAATTGTCAAAATTGACACAGCAAACCACAGTCACTACCTATCAAGCAGAATTTGAACAATTAATGAATAAAGTTACAGGGATTGCAGAACATATCCTTATTTCCATGTTCATCGCATGGCTTAAACCACTTATTCGACGAGAAGTGCAGATGGCACGACCAACAACATTGATGGAAGCTTTTGATCTTGCTCGAGAATATGAAGCAAAATTGGAAGAAATTCAGGTTGAGCTCCAACATGCACGAGCACCCTTAAGGTGGCAACAACGCCAAATACCATCTGCAAACACTACACGGTCAGCCCCGATTATAATACAATCATCAAACCAAGACAAAAGGGGGAGAAAAGCCTTAGCTTTACCACCCTCAACTCAATCAACACAAAATCTCCCCATTAAACGATTAACACCTGCAGAAATGCGGGAAAAACGAGAAAAAAGTATCTGCTACAACTGTGACCAACATTGGTCAACCAATCATAGGTGTCGAACCAGATTTCTAATGTTAATGGGGACAGAAGAGGATGATATAGAAGATCCAATCTTAGAAGAAGAAACCATAGTGAATGGGCAAGATGACATAATCACAGGAGATATTTTCAGTCTAAACTCATTGGCAGGCCCGGGTAATCCCAGATCGCTTAAACTTTTGGGAGAAGTTAATGGCTGAAAGTTACAGATTTTAATAGATAGTGGCAACACCCATAACTTTGTGCAACCCAAAATTGCTGAGCAATTACAGTTACATACTTTGAAGGTCACACCATTTCGGGTATATGTTGGTAACGGAGATTCTCTATCTTGTACCCACAGCTGCAAACAAGTATCATTGACACTACAAGGCACTGAATTCTTGGTAAACTTCTTTGTACTTCCAATTCAAGGCCTAGACATGGTATTGGGAATTCAATGGTTACTGGGACTTGGAAAAGTTGAGCATGACTATGATAATGTGTCCATGGAGTTTGAATGGAAAGGCCACCAGATTAAATTGCAAGGAAATCATTCATTGACACCACAAGAAATAACTCTGAATCAATTAGAAGCTCCAGTAGTAACAAGGGAAATACTGGAACTCTATGAGTTACTTTTAATACGTGGTCCTGAATCCCCGCCAGAAGAAAATAATACTGAAAAATCTATAGAAGCGGTACAATTCCCTACAGATATACCACCAGAAATTATAACAGTACTTCAGCAGCATGAGAAACTATTCCAAGCACCTGTTACGCTACCCCCACATAGATTTTTCAATCACAGGACTCATTTAAATCCGAGAACCAAGCCAATCAATGTTCGCCCATATCGCTACCCACACTTCCAAAAAGAAGAAATTGAGAAGCTTGTTACAGAAATGCTAGATCAAGGAGTTATCCAACCTAGTCAAAGCCCTTTCTCATCACCAGTCCTACTCGTAAAAAAGAAAGATGGGACCTACAGGTTCTATGTAGATTATAGAGCCTTGAACGCTGCAACAGTCTGTGACCACTTTCCTATTCCTACTGCAGATGAGCTCTTTGATGAATTAGGTCAAGCAATGGTTTTTACAAAATTAGATCTTAGAGCAGGCTATCATCAAATAAGGATGCATCACTGGGACATATATAAAATCGCCTTTCGAACTCACGGAGGACATTATGAGTTTCTTGTCATGCCTTTCGGGTTAATGAATGCTCCGTCTACCTTCCAAGCAACTATGAACCGCATGCTCCACCAATTCTTGAGAAAATTTGTAATCGTGTTCTTTGATGACATCTTGGTTTATAGCCAAACACTGGAGGATCATATTTACCCCTACAAGAAGTGCTTGGCACATTAAAACAATATGCATTCTACTTAAAGTTGAGCAAGTGCAGATTTTGTCAAACTTCTATCGAATATCTTGGTCACATAATAGATCATGAAGGTGTACATGCAGATCCTAACAAAATTGACGTAATGATAAACTGGCTAACACCAAAAACCATCCGACAATTAAGGGAATTCCTGGGACTAACAGGATATTACCGTCGTTTCATAAAAGGTTATGCCAACATTGCAGCCCCGCTAACTGACTTACTTAAAAAGGATGCATTTCAATGGGGACAGAAGGCAGAGGAAGCATTTACAGCCCTTAAAACTATAATGACAAAGACTCCGAATTTAAGACTCACTAACTTTAGCAAGCCTTTCATTGTAGAAACAGATGCATCTAATGAAGGCATTGGAGCAATTCTTGTGCAGGACGACAGACCAATTGCTTTTTTTAGCAAAAAGTTGGGATCGCGCTTAAGAAACTCATCAACATATAACAGGGAGCTTTTTGCCATTGTAGAAGCGGTACAAAAATGGAGACAGTACTACTTGGGAGATTTTTCACCATCTGCACAAACCAAAAGAGCTTAAAGGAGTTGTTACAACAAGTAGTGCAAACCTCAACTCAACAGCACTATGTTAGAAAATTAATGGGGTATAATTTCAAAATAGAGTACAAACTTGGCAGTAATAATAAAGTAGCAGATGCTCTTTCAAGGAGAGAAGAAGAGGCAACTCCGAACACATCGTATGGGGAAGTATTCCTCACAGTAAGTAAACCAATCCTAGAACTTCTAGAGACCATACGAAAAGAAAATAATTCAGAACCTGACATACTACAACTTCACCAAAAAAATACAAAAGGGAGACTACCTAATCATTATGAAATCAAAGAAGGCTTAGCTTTCTATAAAGGTCGATACTGCATCGGAGCAAACTCTAAGAGGAAATCTCACATACTACAAGAGTTCCATTCAACCCCAATGGCAGGTCACACTGGGGTAGCCCACACACTGGTACAGCTTGTAGCTAATTTTCATTGGACAAACATGAGGGAAGATGTGAAAAAGTTCATTGCAGCCTGCAAGTATGCCAACAAACCAAATATTCAACACAACCCCCTGCAGGACTACTCCAACCACTCACAGTTCCTTTTAGAGTTTGGGAAGACGTAACCATGGACTTCATAACAGGATTACCGGCATCACGAAGACAAGGAACCATCATGGTAGTTGTGGATAGGCCTACTAAATATGTGCACTTTGGAACATTACCACACCAATTCAGTGCACAGAAAGCAACTAATATATTTATAGAAATAGTGGCAAAACATCACGGCTTCCCTGCAACAATCGTCTCAGATCGAGACCCAATTTTCCTAAGCAAATTTTGGGATGAATTATTTACACTAAGTGGCACAACACTAAAGAGAAGCACGTCATACCATCCACAAATCGACGGACAGACAGAACTAATGAATCGAGGCTTAGAGCAATACTTAAGGGCTTTTACTCAAGTCAAACCAACCAATTGGACGTCATACTTGGGATGGGCAGAATTTTGCGCCAATACAAGCTACCACAGCACCATTAAATTGACTCCATTTCAAGCACTATATGGAAGACCACCACCCACCTTAGCACCGTATACAAAAGACACAACAACAGTGCAAGCACTAGATGAATTATTGTTGGATCGTGATAGATTGATAAGGCAACTGAAACACAATCTTCGGGAATCTCAGCATCGCATGGCCCAAAAAGCTAATGCCAAAAGAAGCGAAGTGAAATTTTCAGTAGGAGATAAGGTCTGGCTTCGTCTACAACCATATAGACAGATATCAGTAGCACGTAGAAGCTCTAAGAAACTAGCACGACGCTATTATGGTCCATTCAATATCTTGGAAAAAATAGGGGAAGTTGCATACTGCCTCGAGCTACCACCACAAGCAAAAATTCATATAGTATTCGATGTCTCACAACTCAAGAAACACATAGGAACTGAAGAAAATATAGAGGTCCAATTACCGGAAGAAATTGTGGGCCAATCACCAATTTCAACTCTACTAGCACTCCGTGGGGAACGAAATGTTCTAAAAAATGGAAAAATACAACGCCAAGTCTTTGTGCAATGGTCAGATAGTAGACCAGAAAACGCCACTTGGGAAGTTGCCGATGAAATGGAACGATGGTACCCGAATCTCCACCTTGAAGACAAGGTGGTCGTCGAAGGGAAGGGGAGTGATACGAGTATATCCGCAGTGGAAGAAAGTGAAAATCAAGAATTGGGAGAAAGAAAAGAAACAACCCAAGCTACTAGGCCAAGGAGAGAACAAAGGAAACCGGCATGGATGGCTGATTACATTTGTTAGACTAAGTTTATTCGTAATAGGATACATTAGTTTAGTCCTAATACGTTATTATATCATATTAATTAGGAATCATAGTCCTAAGCATAATAGGAGTAACTTAGTATATAATCACCTTGCATGCTAGGGGGAAAGACATGCGAATTATTATTATCTTTTTCTTCTTTGCTATCATCTTCCTTCTCTGAAATCTCTCTCTCTCTCTCCCTCTCTCTCTCTCTCCCTCTCTCTCTCTCTGATTTTCCCCTCCTCTAATTCCATCTTTAGAGTCTGCATCCACTCAAAGCGGTGCCGGCTTGATACGGGTTCGTATCACATTGTCACCTGGTCAAACCAGAAATAATGCAGAGTTACAAAAAAAAAATGGCCACAACATCGTAAAACTATTTGCATGCACATGAGCACAGACCTCCCCACAACATCGCACCCACCTAAAATATGCACACGTCTTCCCACACATCCGCAAACACACAACCCTAACCGTGACAAGCCAAAATCTTATACATTCTTCTACTAAGTGTTATCATACACAAGCCAATGATGATTAATTCTCACTGTATTTACCAAATGAACAATAATTTTTAAAAATTTAGAACACAAATAAAATTATTCAAAAACAAAAATCCAGAAAACACTACACTTTTTAAAAATTAAAAAAAAAAAAAACACTTCTACAACCACACGCACAAGCTTCTGTAAACACATGCACATATCAAAACATTCAACGCACAACCCACGACAATACTATTGGCACACAATGAAGGAACCAAATTGCAATGCCCCTTAGCCTACAATATGCACACGCCAATTCAAAAAGAAACCACACACTGATTCATTCGAACAAACAACCATAGTACCATGCACATACACGGTTACATGCACAAACTAACACCCACAACGCACACAAACATCGTAAAACTATTAGCATGCACACTTTGGATTATTTGTAAACTGTGACAAACTGGAGGTTGCGTATTTTGGATTATTGCTATTAGAGGGGCAATTTATATCCTGCACCACGGTGCGCGTTGCATTGTGCATCCAGATGCAAAACGACGTCGTTTCAATTTTTTATTTTTTATTTTTGAAATTTCCCGCCCCAGTGTTTGACAGTTAATTTTTCTTTAAAAAAAAAAAAAACATGTTCAAAATGTACATAATGTTATACTAGAATACACATAATTGTATACATGAATGTACATAATTATATAAAAAAATATACATACTCTTTTTAAAAAGATAATACACATAATCTAACATAATACATAATAAACATAAACTTTTAACATAATACACATCGACTCTTAACATAATACACAAAAATTTCCTGATTCGGATGTACATAATTGTATAAAAAGAATGTACATAATTGTATAAAAAATATACATAATTGTATGAACAAATATACATAATGGTATGAACAAATATACATAATCACAGCAACTTCCTACCGCACCTCCCAAAACGACGTCGTTTTGGGAGGCGCGCGGCGCACAGCGCTACGCGCCGTGGTGTAGGGTATAACGATTGTATTAGAGGGCAGTCCAACATTACTAACAGCCCACCTGCCTGTGCTTGTCATGTAATATGTTGTCGGACCAAGAGTCTCATTATCCCTCTCATACACTATCTGGTTAGACGACGTTATTTCTTGACCACCACACTTAATAGCAAAGCTAGAGTCTGTGGGTGATGAGCAAATATGAAGTGTTAAAAGACCTCCATCTCAAAATGCATAGAAATAGAATAGTAGTCATGTAATAATGTATAACATCTCAGAACTTAATCATGCAAAGACTACATGCTTTGCAATGAACATTAAATATCAACACTTAATACAAAAATCTTTTGCTGTTTTAATTATTCAGCCTCCTTTTCACAGTATGTAGCATGCAAAATTATATAAAAAGTTAGACACCAAGACTATGTGGTCTAATAGTATTCGGGTTGGATTTTCATTTTGAAGGTTGTGAGTTCGAGCCTCAGTGAAGGCGTTATTGATTCTTTGTGTTTCTAAATATAAAAAGTTAGAGACGAGTAGAAATTTCATCTTTAAAGAATTACAAATTCAACATATTTGTTTTGAGCATAAAGTATTAATCAATGAAACACATTTTGGTTTAACTTACAAATGGGATTTTCCCGATTACATGGGAAATTCTTCTGAAGACAATTCAATCTGAAGGCAGAGCACTGAAAGTAGAAAGAATGCATTGAATCAGATTAACACCAAAATCTAAGAGAAGTTAAAACTATCTCAAAATAATAATTTGACTTAATTTACATCACTCTCATACTCTGCCAGAACAAACTGTTAAACATTTTCTGAGAAACCAGTAGCCTGATGTAGCCATGGCAACAGTTTGGATCAAACCATTTACTATTCTATTCTTAGCCGAGATCCTAAGCTCCTTGTTAAGATTCCTCCATTTTAGGCATAGAAACACAGAATGCCCTTTATAATTTTTAAAATTTATAAATTCAATTGATTCTGAACTGGAACTAGAACAATGACTGGTACTGTACAGTTCAGGTTCTAGTTCCAGTACCACCAATCCTAACCTACACCAAAACATGGAGATGAGTAGCCTGATGTAGAATTTAAATTGACTGAAATATATCTCTACCATTTCAATTATTAGCAACATATTTATTATCTAAGAACAGATATATGGCCTTTGGAAAATTCAAAGAACAACAAAAAGTTGAAGATGGTGATTCCTAAACATGATATATATGGTCAAGTGTAACTCTCACCTGCCATTAGACCTGACTATGGTAAAATTATTGCTGATGAGATTCCTGCAAATTATAAAATAGCAAGTGGCAACATTAGAATTAAAGAAGAGACCCCTATCATATTAGAAAGTGAATCTTGAAACAAAAACACACAGATTAGGAAGGAATGTCACACAGTGTGTGATGCTTGTTGTCTATTCATACTTACAGTTGTAAACCTCGTCCGCTAGTCCAAGAAGGGAAGTTCCTAGATATTTCATTGTATGATAAATCACTGCAGGTAAATTAATCTTGACCATGTTAAACACTTAAAACATGCTAAGTGTTAATGATAACCAACGGCCAATAACCCGCACCACCCCACAACACCCGCCAAGACCCCAAGCCGGAAAACACAAAAACATAAAAAATAAAAAATAAAAAATAAAAAATAAAATAAAAAATAAAAAAATAAAAAATAAAAAATAAAAATAATAATAATAATAATAATAATAATAATAATTAAAATTAAAAAATCAAGGTTTCGGAATACCTTGAGGGGAACCCGAAGAACTCCCCTTGTGACACTTAGAATGCCTGATAGAAGAACCCGCCATGTAGACTACCTGGGCGATACGGACAGACCGGCACCGGAGACGACAAGCTCGCCAACCTCTTCTCAAATTTTACCCTCACCTCTTCTCAAATTTTATTTTACTTCTTGATTTTAATTTGTTCTACCAAAACTTCGGATGTTAGGTTTTATTGAACATCATTCTTTTTTAACAGCATGAGCCTTCCTGTATGTGACAGACCACATTCATCTTAACAAATTAAAAGAAATTTCAGTACATTTATTTTTCTTCAAGTTGCTGGATAACCTTTTCAATTTTGCTAGCTTCGACAAATTTCATAGAATAGAATTGTGCTAATCTTTTCCTATACTCCTCTCCACTCTATTTACAAGGAAAAAAAAAAAAAAAGAATTGCAAGGCAGATATGATCATCATCACAAAATTAAACCTTTAACTGCATTGTATTGTAGTAAATCATTTACCACTACCATTTAAGTGGTTTAGTTAACCCTCAATTTTTGCATTATAAAAGTGGTTAGTTAGCATTTTGTTTGGATAGTCTGCAATAGCATCTTACATTCATGAGGAACCCACAACTCTTGACCAAAGATAGCTATTATTAAACTATTCAAAACCCGGTCCAGCAGTACTGCTTCTTTCTGTGATGTTGGATTCAGGAAGTTTAATGGCCTGTAAATGAGAAGAAACATTTGGCTGTCAAAGAATATCCAATGCATTTTTTTAAGCAAGCTAAGCTAGGCAATTACGATACACTTGGAATTGAACAAGGAAAGAAAGATTGCAAGGCAGATATGATCATCATCACAAAATTAAACCTTTAACTGCATTGTAGTAAACCATTTACCACTACCATTTATGTGGTTTAATTTAGTTAATAACCCTCAAATTTTGCATTATAAAAGTGGTTACTTATCATTTTTTGGATATATAGTCTGCAATAGCATCTTACATTCATAGTAACAAGTTTGTAAAGAAAGTTAGCATCCATACAAAATGGATCATTCTAACCTCAAAAATGCAGTTTCCCATTTCAACTTGCCAGTACTGAATCTGCTTAGCAAAAGCAACAAGCTCAGGGAAGGGCCACACTAATCCAACTTAATTGACTGCAGCTTCAAATTTTCTGTTAAACACCAAGCTAAGGGAACTTTTCCAAACAATAACATCTCAAGACTAACAACTCGAGACATGGGAAATCACCATCGCTTATTAGCTTGCACAATGCTCAAGTTTATTAGCTTCAAGAATCTTAGTCCATAGAATTCTCCTTTAGCTACTTCCCATACTTCTTCATAGAAAGCATTCTCCAAGTCACTTGTAAAACTTTTCAAACTCTCCTAACTACCTGTTTATAGTTAACAGAATGCATGCATCAAACACATCATCATCATAGAAACAAGTTGCAGAGTTGTTAGCAACTGTATGTAGAGGTGTACGTTTTGTAGGATAATTTCATACTGTTAGTTGTTGGCAAATTATATTGAATGTTTCATTCATTTATCGTAACAGAAAAAGTAATTATTCAATAGTTGTGAAGTTAAAATAAAAAGGAGTAAATACCAAAAATGGTCCCTCGACTATAGCTAAATTCACAAATTGGTCTTCGACTTTTAATTTCAACCAATTAATTCCTTAACTTTGCAATTTTAACACAATTTGGTCATTTGTCTATTTGAACGTTTGTTGACTGCACTTTTTTAGGATATATATGTAATTTCATGGTCCATCGTCGGTTTTTTAGGGTTCCGGTTGTATTTCTAGACCGCACTGTTACATTCGAATCCACTGCTGGCGCTGCACCCCATGCCGGAGAGATTATAGCTTTTGATAGATAGATCGCCGAAGTCCCTGGAGCGGCTCTTCGAGAAAGCCGTAACTCCAAGCGATGTAGGCAAGCTGAACCGGCTCGGGATCCCCAAGCAGCAAGCGGAGAAGCACTTCCCCCCTCTGAAACGACGTTGTCACCTCCAAGAGCGTTCTCTAAGCTGAACCGGCTCGGGATCCCCAAGCAGCAAGCGGAGAAGCACTTCCCCCCTCTGAAACGACGCTGTCACCTCCAAGAGCGTCCTCTAAGCTGAACCGGCTCGGGATCCCCAAGCAGCAAGCGGAGAAGCACTTCCCCCCTCTGAAATGGCGCTGTCACCTCCAAGAGCGTTCTCTAAGCTGAACCGGCTCGTGATCCCCAAGCAGCAAGCGGAGAAGCACTTCCCCCTCCGAAACAACGATGTCACCTCCAAGAGCGTTCTCTTGAGCTTTGCACGTGAAACTACATATATATCCTCAAAGATTGCGGTCAACAAACGGTCAAATAGATGGAGGATCAAATCGTGTCAAAATTGCAAAGTTAAGGACTTAATTGGTTGAAATTGAAAGTCGATGACTAACTTGTGAATTTAGCTATAGTCGAGGGACCATTTTGGGTATTTACTCAAATAAAAAGCAACATCAGTATAATATTTTTTTCTGTTAATTTTTTTTTTTTTTTTCATTCTTTGTTGGGGAAGGGTGTGCTTCTTCTGCACGTTGAAGAATACAAATTTTGTAGGTTCTGAAAGCAATTTCATGAATACGATTCATCTATAGTCTAGAGCATTCGGTCAGTAGCTTGAAATAAAATGGTAAAGAAAATCACCTGAAGACGGACTACAGGATCACTGTAAAATCTTTCATTTTAATGCCTTACAGAATGCCAAAAATGGATATAAATATAATCAATCTCAAGAAGAAGTTTTTAGAATTATAATAGGCCTTGACAAATCATCAATATCACATTAAGTGTAGTCTCACTATGAATTTAAAATTTTAGTTGAAACAAAACACATCCATCCTTCAATTAGAAGGAAATAACTAATCAAGTCTTCTTACCTCTACATCTTCAATACTTGACTTCTAGCAGCTTAGCTTCCCAGTTTTCAAAAAGGTATTCAAATGACATACCAATCTGCAAAAGCACATTAGTACTCAGAATTAATTATATTGCGAGCGGTAGAGAAAAGAAACAGAGATGTAAATTAAAGTAGTATGATCATCACATATAGGTATGAGATGAAATACCTTCCTTGCCCTAGTCACATATACTCATGAAGTAGTAGTAAATCTCTAATGACCAACATACTCCTTCACAACATAATGTTTGCTAATAAAAAGTTATCCACCGTCTTTTTAACACAAAGCTCTTCAGCCCATCTTTCAAGACCAACTTCTGGATACTCCATCTGCAGGTTTCTTAATTCCATTAATGAGGAATCATTAAATCTTAACCAATGAATTTATTTTTTGTATATGCAACTATATGTACTGTATTTGGCATGCAAATAAAAATATAGAAGCAAGACACATGTAACCTAACACATACCATTTTCCAACAGTTATTTACTATATATGAGGCTGGCCGGCCAAGTCATCTTACATATATAGACAATTCTGTATGTGTATTCTGTGAGTCATCATATTCGGAGCTAAGGATTTTGAGCTGTGAAAAGTAATGCTGGAAAACAAATGAGATCAGATGAGAGATATACTAACTGATTTTGTAAAGAAAGTCAGCATTGAATAAAAAAGAAATAAAAAGAAACATGATTTAGCTTCTAACCTTAACATCCTTATTGGATCTTCTATTCTGTTGTAACTGCTTGGCAGAAACAAAAAGGGAAGAGTGACACCCCTCCAATCTAATTGACAACAGCAGCGGTATTCTTTCAAAACACTCCGGGATCTGTTCCAAACAATTACAGGATCTTAAGACTAAGTGTCTGAGCATTCGAAAGTGCTTCTGGCCAACTACCCACTGCTTGAGTTCTTTAGCTTCAATGAGCAAGAATCTTAAATTAGAAAATCCTCTTTCTACAACTTTCCATACAGCTCCATGGAAGGCATTTTCCAACTTGAGCACCTCAAGTTGGGGTAGCTTGGCAATTACATTTAAATCCTCCTCAGAAATATTAGTCTCACTCAACTTCAACTTCTTCAATCTTGAAGGATACATACACTCTTCTGGAAGCGCTGCATTCAAATCAATAGAATTCAAAATGCTAAGCTTCTCAAGCCTTACCAAATAGTCAAAATGATCTAAAATAATAGGATTGTTGCAACATCCTCTAATATGACTGGGCTCTATGTCATCCTTCAGGAAAATTTTCAGATTTTTTATGTTAGGGAACTTGTTGTACACCTTTTGTCTGCAATGAATTGGTCTCACCACCCATGATAATGTTTGTAAATTCTCATTATCCACACTTGGAGGATCTACCATATATGAATTGCCAAGTTCGAGATGCCTTAAGTGTGGTGGCTTCCAAATACTAGATGGCAAATGGATTGTTGGTGCTCCATTACCGGAAACAACACGTGTCTCTAAATTTGGATTATTTGACACTACATCATCCAGATCCTCAAACCATTGTGTTATGGATACGTATCTCAGAAAAACTAAACCTCCTAATTGCATTGGCACTCTTTGAAGTGATATAGAAGTATCAAAAGCCAAAACTCTTAACAGCTTGGGAGGAACAAACATTTCAGGATTTTCAAGAAAGAAGAAAATGGAGCGAGGGATGTTTGTACCAAAGAGCACATAATAGTCAAAACTGTGTGAGTAAGAACTTAGCCAACGACAGGAATTTGTAAATGTGTTTAATGATAATCCTGAATGTTGTCGAGTATTTACTGCACATAAAATACCTCCTTTTTGAGCTTCTCCTACGCCGAAGCTATGTAAGGCACTGTGCATTCTACAAGTCTTTATTTTGCCGTTACAACTTCGATCTTCAAAATTAAGAGAAGACTTCTCTCAGTAAGCTCTTCTAAGTACTCATAAGCTTCATCCTCTAACTCCTTATGTTTCAATAGCCTCACAAATCTCTCAGCAATCCACAACCTTATAAGCATTTTAACCCGGATTTTTTTACGTTTTGGGAAGACTCCAAAGTATAGAAAGCAAACTTTCAAATGATGTGGCAACATATTGTAACTAACACTGAGTGCATTGCGATCTAGAAGTCCCAATGACTCTAATTCCTTTTCAATCTTTTTCCACCCTTGTTGTATGTTGTCGCATTTAGATAAACGCTTGGCAACTTCAACAATTAATTGGGGTAATCCATCACATTTCTCCACAACATGGTTCCTAATTTTTTCAAATTTAGGGGCCAAGTGCACTTCATCAATAGAAAGGATATTACAAAATAGTTCCCAGCTTTCTTTCGGATTTAGCAAAGTCATCTTATGGATATGGATATATCCCCTCCTGTGGTCATATTTGTTGAAGTTGTTTCTTGTGGTTAATATGTAACTTCCAACTAATCCATGATCAGAAACAAGTCCTATGATGTCAGTCAAAGCTTGCTTCCAAGTTTGCTTGCTCGTAATGTTGTCCAAAACAATTAGATACTTCTTACCACCAAAGCATTTGCATACCTGAAATTCTAGTTCATGAGGAGTGCTTCCCTTTTTATTTACATTTGGCTCTTCTGGTGTAATTGACAGAAGAAGTTGGCTTAGTATTCCGCTCTTATTGTAGTGTTGAGGAGGAGGCATAGTAACCCAACCTCTTACATCGAAATAGGATGCAACTGATGGATCTTCATATACATTTCTTGCTATTGGCATGTGTCTCGTTGATAATGTGATTCATAACATTATCTTCAACCCATTGGCGAATATAACCACAAACTTGTTGGTGCTCAAAGTCCCACTCTTCGTCTGACATGCTTTCTGGCTTTGCAGTTGCAAACACAGGTAGATGTAATTTCTTCACAAACAAAAGATCCTTCATCTTGGCCTTCCAAATGTGATAATTTCTACCATTCAATCGTACCATATTACTCATATTTGTCTCCATGTCAAATGTACCAAATCAACAACCAGGGCTCTGATACCACTTTGTTGGGAAAATCCCACTTCCTGCGACAATGAAAAATCACAGAACCGACAGGAGCACAAACACAAGTTGATACACAATAGCCAAAAATAAATATCAAACACAAGAACACACGATTTACGTGGAAAACCCCAAATCGGGGAAAAAACCACGGGACCACCACCAACCAATAATCCACTATAATAAATCTTGGGTACAAAGTTTCAGGCTACCACACGAGCCAAACATCCACAAATCATCAAATGCAATAATTCTAGGCCAAAGACTTCTATTATATTCCACAGGCCTAAACAGAATACCAACTCGTACTTAAAATATTCAACCACCACAAGCAAGATGAAAAGAATACAAATAGTACGAGAATATCCAAAAGATGCCTGGAACAAACAAGCTGACCTCTCAAAAGTATTTGATGAAGAAACACCCAAGAAGTTAGGCAAACTTCACGATTCTTCTCCTCTATCTGCCTGCTGAACAGAATAGTGAATGATGAACCAAAACAGGTTTCGCCACACGCACTGCCTCTCTGCTGTACGAAAATAAAGAAGCAAAATTTTGTATTTCTTCTTTTTGGGCAAAGCTGCCGTGCGTCCCACTCACAAATCCCTAATTCATCCATATATATATATATATATATATATATATATATATATATATGCCTAATTAAATATTATTATATTATATAAATATAATAATAATAATTAGAGGTCCATGAGAAGAGGTCCAACAAAAATTATAGTGGATACAAATTGGCTTGGTCCAAACATGAGCTATTTACCACATAGGAGGGAAGCCCAACCCAACAAATCTCCCCCTCCCGACTATGTGGAAGATATCGCCATCCCGGCGATAGAGCAACAATCCTCAAACTTCCCTCTCGGCAATGCTTTAGTCATCATGTCAGACCCATTATCGTCGGTATGAATCTTTTCAAGTTCAAGCATCTTGCACTCTAAGATATCTCTAATCCAATGATATCTTGTGTCAATATGTTTTGACCTGTAATGGAACGTGGAGTTCTTTGCAAGATGAACTGCACTCTGACTATCACAATAGAGCACATACTTGTCTTGAACAAACCCGAGCTCCTGAACAAACTTCTTCATCCATAGCATTTCTTTACTGGCCTCAACAGATGCTATGAACTCAGCTTCAGTGGTAGACAAAGCAATACACTTTTGCAATCTTGATTGCCATGAAACTGCTCCCCCTGCATAGGTAATTAGATAACCTGAAGTAGATTTCCTGGTGTCGATGTCCCCGGCCATATCTGAATCAGTGTATCCGGCAAGAATAGGTTTCTCTGTACCAAAACACAAACTCAGACTTGAAGTACCCCGAAGATATCTAAGAACCCACTTCACAGCATCCCAATGTTCTCTCCCTGGATTTGAGAGAAATCTGCTAACAACACCCACTGCATGAGCAATATCTGGTCTCGTACATACCATGGCATACATCAAACTACCAACAGCTGAAGAATAAGGAACCCTTTGCATTTCTTCATTCTCTTTCTCACCAGAGGCACATTGCTTCTTACTTAACTTGAAATGCATACCAAGAGGTGTATTCACTGGCTTAGCTTTATCCATACTAAATCTCTCAAGTACTTTCTCTATATACTTTTCTTGAGATAACCACAACTTCTTGTTCTGCCTGTCACGAATGATCTTCATCCCAAGAATTTGCTTTGCTGGTCCCATGTCCTTCATAGAAAAGGACTTACTCAACTCTTGTTTCAACTGTTGAATTCTTGAAACATTGCGACCAACAATCAACATATCATCAACATAAAGTAACAATATAACAAAGTCATCATCAGAGAATCTGTTTACAAAAGCACAGTGGTCTGAAGAAGTCTTCTTGTACCCATGCTTACTCATAACAGAAGTAAACTTTTTATACCACTGCCTCGGAGCTTGCTTCAATCCATACAAACTCTTCTTTAACCTGCAAACATAATCTTCTTTCCCTTTGACTTTGAATCCCTCAGGTTGCTCCATATATATCTCCTCATCTAAATCACCATGGAGAAAAGCTGTCTTTACATCCATCTGCTCAATTTCTAAATCCAAACAAGCTGCTAGACCCAACACAACTCTAATGGATGAAAATTTAACAACAGGAGAGAAAATTTCATCAAAATCAATACCTTTCTTCTGGCTAAAACCTTTCACCACCAGTCGAGCTTTGAATCGTGGAACTGAAGTGCCCTCTTCATGTTTCAATCTGTAGACCCACCTGTTCTTCAAAGCTTTCCTGTTCTTTGGTGCCCTTACCAACTCAAAGGTATCATTTGCATATAGGGAATTCATCTCATCCTGCATAGCCTCAAGCCATTGTCTCTTTTGCTCACTCTCCATAGCTTCTTCATAGAACTCAGGTTCTCCCCCATCAGTTAATAGCACATACTGACTGGAAGAGTAACGAGTAGATGGTCTCCGTTCCCTGTTAGACCTTCTAGGAGGATCAACTGGAACCTGCGAAGGAACTTCTTGTTCCTGGTGCACAACATCATCAACATGACCATCCACATCAACTGTATCATCCTGATTGTCTGGTACAAGATCACCGTTCTGGCCATTCTCTTGAACTTCATCAACATCATGTGTATCTTCACTGGAAACTGGCTCACAGTCAACCAAACTTCCGCTGTCTTGAGATTCTAGCTTTCTCACTTTGTCAACATCTTCAATGGTTTGATCTTCAAAGAACACTACATCTCGGCTTCTCACAAGCTTCTTCTCAACTGGATCATACAGCTTGTAGCCAAATTCATCAAGACCATAACCAATGAAAATGCACTGTCTAGTCTTCGAGTCCAATTTAGATCTCTCATCTCTTGGGACATGCACAAACGCCTTGCAACCGAAGACTCTGAGGTGATCATAAGAAACTTCCTTTCCACACCAAACCTTATCAGGAACTTCATTATTCAAAGCAATAACGGGAGATAAGTTGATAACATGAACAGCTGTGGAAACTGCCTCAGCCCAAAATGAACTAGGCAACTTTGCATCATCAAGCATGCATCTGACTCTCTCCATAATTGTCCGGTTCATCCTCTCTGCTAAGCCATTTAACTGAGGAGTTTTAGGAGGAGTTTTCTGATGTCTAATTCTGTTCATTCTGCAATACTCATCAAATGGGCCACGATACTCACCGCCATTGTCAGTACGGATGCACTTCAATTTCTTCCCTGTCTGTCTCTCAACAAGGGCATGAAACTCTTTAAACACACCAAACACATCACTTTTGTGCTTCAAAGTGTAAACCCAGAGTTTCCTAGAATAATCATCAATGAAGGTCACAAAGTAAGATGCACCTCCAAGTGATCTAACCTTCATTGGTCCACACACATCAGAATGTATCAACTCAAGTGGCTCCGGCTTCTTTGAAGGAGAATTGCTCATAAAAGAAACTCTTTTCTGTTTCCCTGCCAGGCAATGAACACATCTGTCCAATCTAGCTTCCTTTACTCCTGAAAGCTTCTTCTTCTTGGCAAGGTAATCAATCCCCTTCACACTCATGTGTCCAAGTCGTTTATGCCACAATTCTGATGCACATTCTTTTGCTGCCACATTCACTGAATCACCAGAAATAGAGCTTTGTAAAGAGTACAAGTTAGAAGACTTGTTACCTCGTGCAATAACCAGCGAGCCTTTAGTGATTTTCCAATGTCCATCACCAAAGAAACAACAGAAACCATCATCATCGAGTTTTCCTGTAGAAATGAGATTCAGTCTGATACCCGGTGCATGCTTTACATTTTTAAGTTCCAGCTTTGTGCCATTGCTGGTCTCAAGACAAACTGTACCGGTACCAATAACCTTCACCTGACCATCATCACCCATTCTTAGCTCTCCAAAGTCACCTGGAGTATATGAAGTAAAGAATTCCTTCCTTGGTGTAACATGGTAAGATGCGCCTGAATCTACAATCCAAGTTGTCTCATGGCATGCAACGTTGACGGCGTTCTCATCACAAGCAAGAAGCAAATCTGCTCTAACTGTTGCAACCTGGTTCTCTGTGTGATCATCTTTCTTGTCTTGCTTCTGTTCCCTTTTCAACTTGAAGCAATTTTTCTTGATGTGACCCTTCTTGCCACAATGATAACATTCAACATCCTTGTGCCATGACCTTGACTTACTTCTGCTTTTATCTCTACCCTTCTAACCCCTTTGTTTGTTTCTCCCCCTATCATTTGTAACCAAAATATCTGACTGAGAAGTGGAGGTGTCTTGAGATCTTCTTCTTGACTCTTCATTCAAGATACCACTCTTGACATACTCCATGGTCACAACACCGTTGGGAGCAGAATTGGTCAAAGAAACCCGAAGTGTTTCCCAAGAATCAGGTAGAGTGTTAAGCAACCAGAGACCAAGTACCTCATCCTCAAATTTGATGCCCATGCTAGACAACTGATCAAGAACACCCTGAAAATCATTGACATGATCATTGATCAACGTACCTTCCCTGAATCTTAGATTCATCAATTGTTTTAGCAAAAACAATTTGTTATTGCCTGTCTTGGAAGCATACAGGGTCTCAAGTTTATCCCACAGGCTTCTGGCATGTGTCTCGTTGATAATGTGATTCATAACATTATCTTCAACCCATTGGCGAATATAACCACAAACTTGTTGGTGCTCAAAGTCCCACTCTTCGTCTGACATGCTTTCTGGCTTTGCAGTTGCAAACACAGGTAGATGTAATTTCTTCACAAACA